GCCTGAGGAAGCCACATGGAGCAGCAAGCATGTGAGGAAGAAACCGGGCTTATTTCTTGGCCCTAGACTGGTTAAGGCAGATGTGGGTGAAAGACCCGTAGGGAGGTGACTAGGGCAGTGTTTATATTGATTTTGATTTTGCTCTTTTCCTCCCAGACTTGTCTGGCCATTTCTGACCCTTTTCTATGGGTCCCGGCCAGAAGGTGCCTTAGACTTGTGGCGGGTTTTCAGGCCTTGCTTTGGGCCAATGCCTTTTGGGTGGACTTTTGCCCACGAGGGGATAGGTAACTTCAGGTTTTTGATTTAGACATTTCATTCTTTGTCTTCTGTATTGTATACTCACTGTATTAAAGTTCCATTTCATTAAAGTCTTTTATGTTTTGTCTTGATGTGGCAGATGGCAGAACCTATTTGAGCAGGCAGGTTTGGGGGGTTCAGCGGTGTCCCCCTCTCCCTGCCCTGTAACAGAAGGATGGAGAGTTGAGTGAAAGGAGGAAAGAATAGGCAGGTGGGTGGATGAAAGGAAGTAGAGTGAGAGGAATGTGTGAGTCAATAACTATGATTACAAAAGAATAGGCCCTATGAGAGTCATTTGGCTGATATATTTTAGTTTAAACTGGTTAAATCAAATTTCAAAAGACAAAACAAGTTCTTCCCAGTGCCAGAATAATTGTCTAAATGACTGCCTTGAGAAAGATGATATACACTTAATACATTTATAGGCAGATTTGTTTAAAAACATTGTTCTAGTCATAATATTTCAAACATAGTATTTCAAATTGTGTCCTCTATCATGGCAAATCCACACCTAGAACTCTACAAAAACGCATAGATTTTTGTAAAAGAATAAATTATCTATGTATAGGGAAGGTACTTAATAGATCATGCACATTTGTTCTAACAGAGTTCACATAGCTATAAAGATGGTTGTCCAATATATTCTGACATGGATCAATGACCATCTGTAAGAGGTGGGAAAGGCAAGTAATTGTGTGTGTGTGTGTTGTATGAGAGAATAGAGAACTTTAAACCACAGCCTCTGCTTTTTAGTGGCTGACTCTGTAGCCACTAGCCACCAATGGCTATTGACCACCTAATTTAAAATGGGCTACTCAGAATGGAGATTTGATTAAATGTACTTACTGGATTTTGGACATTTGCAATGCCTGAAAACAGTAAACTGATTAATGATATTTACATTCATGCTACATGACAATAATACTTCAAATGTTTCATATTGAGGTCAAATTGCATTGCTAAAGTGAACTTGGGCCATTTCTTTTTACTTTTATGGATGTGACTAGTAGAAAATTTAAAATGCCTTTGCAGCTGGACAATGCCTTCTACCGGATAGTGACCCTATAACAAGGAAAAGCAGTGAAACTGGGATATGATGGAAGGCCCAGGAAAAGGACTTAAAGCTTCAACCTAAACTATACCATGTTCTTCAAAAAGCATTTAATTTTTAAACGCATATTGGGAATACAGACAGCATCTGTAGTTTATTTACTAGCACTGTGCTAATGATCATTTTTTGGTTTTGACAATTGCCCTGGGGTTCTATCAGCTGTTAGCACTGGAGGAAAGTGAATATAGAATCTCTCTATAATATTGTTGCAATTTTTCTGTAAAGCTCAAATAAAAGTTCAGAGAAAACCAGAAGGGAAACAATCTAGCGAGAAGCATCTCCTATACCTTCATCTCAACACACTCTTAAGGCAACTGGTTCCAGGTTGGCTTGTCCCACCCAGAGGGACAAGAAGACTCAGTGTGACTGTGTCATAATGGCAAGTTAGACTATGATAAAATTAAAACACAGTAGATGTAGCTATACAGAATTTCAGAGCTAACCAAAGATACACATTACATTGGTATGTAAAATATTTCTGTATCACAAGAACAAAGTTTAGATAAATGAAAAAGTAAAAAATGTAGACCTGACAAAGGACAGTGAGCAACTTATCATAAAGTGGGCTGTGAGGAGAGAACATAAAGCCAAGTTGAAATAAGTTCCCAATCACAAGGCAATTAATTTAAAATGATGTCCCGTGACCACCATCACACAGGAATAGCTTAAATAACACCCTCCCTTTTTTTCTTTTTTTATCTCATTACTTTCTCTTGGAAAAAGAGTGTCACACCCTAAGCAGAAGGAATTCAAATAGAAACCACAGGAAAAAAAAAAAATCACTGATCTGAGTGACTTAGAATAAAAGACCTCTAAATTGCCACCAATATGACTAAGAAAAAGTTATAGAGGCTCAAAAGCCTCAAATTTAAATTTCTGACTAATTCTTCTCCTTTGCATAGGTTTCCACAGCACATCAGAGCCCCCCCCCGCACCCCCAATGGGTGAAACCTTCCTCCAATGGTCCTGCCTGCCCTGTGTCTCCCTTCTCCCCATCTGAATAACAGAAAATCTTAAAATTTTCAGCTTTAGGGCCTCTCCACTTATCTCCAAAAGAATTCAGACTTTCTCAATAGGCATTTGGAAATAACACTAACATTTTTTATGTTTAAAGTTAAACAGGAACCAAATTGAAAGGGGAATGGCATGAGAGGTCACTGCCATATCAATGAATAAAAGATTAAATGCTTGGAATTTCTAAATTTAGCGGTGCTTGATAGAAAATGATAACACCTTACTTTTCCAATATGAAAAAATCAGGATCATTCCCCACATTTTTTCCAGTCTGTGGGTCTCTGGCCACTTGTCATTTCCTGGACTCTGCAGAAACTTTGCAGGTTTTGCATAGTTGTTTTTGTTTTGTTTCTATGTCACCCTCCCCATTTTAAACACTCATGTGGAGTGTGCCCCAGAGTGAAAACTGGGTCCCGTCCCAAAATTTAGTACCTGCACATTCAACCCTTCACCTTGACTTTAACCCCTCCAAATCTTCATATCTTCCTCTGATGAGGAGGGCAGGCTAGAAAACATAGCTGTAATGCTCAAGCTAATGTTTTTATTATAAAAGAAAATAGAGAAAGTGTTCCAAACAATTAGAGAATCACATAAAAGGAACAAGTGACAAGATGGCCCAGGACTATTTGCCCTGTGGAGCGGCCATGTTCAAATGAATATTCTTCCAAGACTGTAATAAAGTGGGGGAGGGGGGGAAATCAACTATATTATACTATTCTGGATATCTTTTTTCTTCTGAATGACATGTAATACAAGTTCTGTGAGGCTAGGGATCCTCTCCTTCGTCCACTGTAGTTCAAGGGGCTGGTCCAGTGTCAGAGCACAAATGAAATGCCAGTAACTAGTCACTGAAAGAAGGCCCCTTCCTGTCAAGACCCACTGTTAGTTCTGTGGGGGCAGAAGTGTATTTGTTTGGTATTTTTCTATATTCTCAACACCAGGGAGTGCCTGGTATAATAAGCATAAGAACTATTTGTTGAACTGGTAAACCAACTCCGGGATGAAAACTAAGTTGGTCTCAATGAAAACTGCGCTACTGTGCCAATGTACGACCATTACCACTTCTTCCCACTATCAATGGGAAAAGCCTTATCAAATCACTGCTTTCACCACCCTGTACACACACCCTAAAGAGATTTGTAGACTATCTTTTTAGAGGAGTATTGGGTGAAACCACTAACCTGGTTCAAATAGGTTCTCAATTCTTAAATTCTTAACTTTAACACACTTATGATTAAATTTTCAGCTTGCCTGAGAGCACCACCTTTAATTTTGCAAAATGATCTCCCTTACTTAACTCAGTGTTTCCCCCAACTGTCTAGATACTGCCAAGACATAATTCATGCAACAAGACTCCAGGAAAGGCCCAGAAGCCAGTAGGCTGCCAGCATCCTGGGTAACCAGCATCTTTTCCTTGCAGCACTGATTTCAGCCATCATCTGGGAGCACTGGTTTCAGACAGCAAAAAGACCATATTGTGGGTTCATTCTTTATGTGCTGAAGAGGGAGACAGACAAGAGAGTAACAACTCTGAGGGCTGAGCCAGGGGAGGATGCTGAAAACTTAAAAGCCTGCAGCAGAGCAGATGGGAGCTGGGAGGATTTGTGAGTTTTCCAAGAAGTAAGGCTATACAGTCAGGATCTGTCTGAGCTCAACATAGAAAAGTCCCTCCAGAAAGTATATTTCTGCTGGTTTGATTTTTTTCACTCCAAGATACTTAGTGTATTTCTGTTATGTCTGAGAGTGGGCCAGGTCCTGGACAGCAGCAAAAGCAGGACCCAGTCCCTGCCACCTTGGAATGGAAGCTTGCTGACCACTGTCTTCCCATCAAGGATCAGATGCTGATTGGAACAGATCTCTGTTTTGCTGCTTTCCACAAGGAAACAGAATCCACAACCCAGTCACTGCTTCTCTTCTATGGAAAATCCAGCTCATGAATGGAGAAGTTGGTCAGACACATTTCCCTTTCAGAGCAACCCAAGCAGAACCTGGCCACACACGCAGAGGTACTTCCCTTTTTCCAGCACCTCCTATACACCATGTTCTCTCACGTGGTCTCCTCTTAACTGAAGCAAAGGAGAGCTGTGCAGGGACACTCACTGCAGGAAAGCCAACATTCAAAGAAGAGTAAACCTGGAAATGTAGAGGGAACATTCTAGAACTTCCTGGTCCTACTCCTGTAGATGCTTAACCTTTTAGGGATCACCGATCTCTTTGAAAATCTGTGACTTCTTTGGACTCTTAGTATTCCCTCTATATTCAGGACTTCCAGGGTCACCAAGGGACTGGCTTTCCAGCCATTCCAGAGACTCCATATTAGAATTACTACCCATGTGAGCACCAAGACCCTGACAGTATCCGAGGTGAACAGTCCTGTCTGCTGAAATCTGAGGTGAAGGTATTCCAGAGTGGGTCTCAATTCAATCCCTGGGAGCTAATTAGCATCAGAAAGCAGGACATTCAGACTTGGTCGTGATGGACAGATCCTATAAGATCAGCCAGTGGACACTTCATTGCTTTCAAAGGAGACAGCACCAAGCTCAAAAAAGAAGTCCCTGGAGTCCAAAGTGATGAAAGGTCAAGACGGCTGCCCAGGGATGATGGTGCAGTAATGTGCATAGGGGTCCTCCATTTCGTACATGTTCTCTTCGATGACGTAGATGTTCTCCTCTGAGTGGCACCCCTGTGCTGCCATATTGGCTAACCCTGAGGGGGCAATAGTGGCCGAAGCAAGCAGGCTGTGGGAACAGAATGTTGCCTTGAGTTAAGCAATCCAGGGGCCAGACAGGTTTGGGAAACAGGCTTTATTGAGACTAGGGGGGGAAACCTAAAACAGCATTATGATAATTTGGGGAACAGCTGTGAAAAATTAGTCTTAGTTTTCTTATGGAAAAAAATGGTATTGTGTTACAGGGAGGCATAGACCAAAGTGTTTAGATTTGCGTGCAGATGTCTGAAATGTGCTTATGAATGGTGCAAACAAGAAATGGGGCCTATAAATAGAGCAACACAAAGTAAATGTGTCAAAATGTGAAATGAGCTGTGCAGATGAAGGCTCTGTGGTCCCTGTGCCATTATTGCAACACTGCAGTGACTTGAACAATTTCCAAAAGAAAAAGGAAGGAGCATGTTATGGATCCAATCAGAATTGTTTCCAGGCTTACCAGGCTTATGACCTTGGGTAAAACGAGCTTTGTTTTTCATTCATTCACTCAAACAATGCTAGTATGTTCCACAGGTCTATGCAGCAGGAGATACAGCCATATACAAGACACAAAACTCCATGCAGGGTGCATGTGAATACACTGTGACTCCAGCTCCTCCTCTATAAAATGGGATTTAAAGTGCTCTAGCTCACCGGTTACTGTTAGGAACATTTACTCAATCATAAAATATTTATTTAGTGCCTGCAAAGCATCAAGCTTCGGCTCAGGCATACAGTCATTAATGTGGCAGGCAAGTTCCTAATTTTCTCTGGAGCTTACTTTTATAGGAAGAGATGAACATTAACCAAATAATATCTCAAATAATGTACATAATACACGAAAATGCATACCTATAAAAACAATCACATTTCTCTTTCTATTTTCTTTTGAATTTTATTTGTAGAAGTTGTTATTGAAGTACCACTATTAGTGCCAAACCTTGTTAGTGTTTGGACAGCATAGGATTTCTCCCCTAAGGTGTGGTCATCACAGCCTTCCCACCACCAGTACACCTTTAGTCCTCTACCATGGTCCATTGTACTCTTTCTTCCCTCCCATTCTCATGTCCCACCTTACCCTCCTCCTCTGAATGCCTCAGATCTATAGGCAGCTTTCAAGGATTGGGTTTTTTTTTTAATAATTTTTTTAAATTATTTAATATTTATTTATGCTTACAGAGCTGGGGTACAGTGTGCAGGGGCGGTGAGAGGATTCACCAGAGACAGAATGGAGAGCAGAACAGGCAGATGGAGGAAGTACACTGCTGAGGGGAGCAGCAGGCAGGCCAGGAGAGGTCTGCTGTGCCATGTGGGTCACCCCTCGGGCAGGGATCGAACTCATGCTAAATTGGTTTCTTAGTGCTGTGCTTTAACCTGCTGTGCCACCAAGGAGGGCCTCAAGGATTGGTTTTAATATTTGTCTTTGACTCTTTTTTTGATTTCTCTATACTTCACATGTAAGTGATACCATTATGTATTTATATTTCTCCTTCTGGCTTATTCTGTTTAGCATAATCCCGTTCAGCTCTTTTCAATGTTACTGCAAATGGCATGAGGTTATTTTTTGATGGCTGAGTAATATTCTGTTATAGATATCTACCACATCTTCTTGAGAAAAGGATCACATTTCAAGTATTCAGTCTAATAAGGAATAGTGATCTAGATGTACTAATATAAATGATGATTAAATATTCTACTTGACATTATTTGACATTTTTACTGAAGACTCTTTGTAATCATACTGTCTATACTTAGTCTAAAATTATTAGTTGTTTAGATCATATTCAATAGACAGTCATTTTTTCTTAATGCATATTGCATTTTACCCATATAGCAAATGTTGCTAAGACCCAGTAAACATATAAACTTTGTCTACATGGAAGGGGTGCATGTGTACCTGTGTAATCAGGAGTAGAAGAGAAGACTGAAACAGAGTAGGCCAGTGATACTCAAGCCTGTTTTGCATATTAGGAAAACTTTGGGGGAAATGCCTTCATGTAGGCCTCCTCCCTAAGATCCTAACCTATTGTCTCTGGGGCTGGAGACAGTCTGGGTGTCCTAGATGACTCTAACAGACAATCAAAGATAAGACTCTGGGTTTCTTATTCACTTCTGTGACCCCACCCCCAGCCCACAGCCTAAAGATAGTAGGTGCTCAGTTAATGAAAGAATCAGCTTATTGATAACAAAAACAAACAACAACAACAACAAAAAACCTTTTCTAGGAAAGAACAAGTATTTCCTATCAATGGAAAGACAAATTCTATACCTTCACGCTAAGAGAAACTATGCTAATGGATCAGGGAAGTAAACTGGGCTTCAAGTGGAATTTTCATTTGCTAAATCAAGGCCGAAAGCAAAAGGTTAAATCCCAAAGTCCTAGGACAAGATGCCTCAGAGCCAGAACACACTAGAGACCTCCTAGAGCCCCACCGTCCCCTACCTGCCCATTATTCTTACCTTGAATTCTGCAACTTCTCCTTCCTGTGAGAATAACCTAGGCAAAAAGTAGAAGAAAAGTCAAAACGATTTACATAAAATAAATAAGAAATAACACCGACTCGCTGGAGGCAAGGATTTTCTGATCTCCCCTTTTGCTGAATTAGTCAAACTACTGGCATGAATGTCAGTTTTTTACATGGACTATGCTAGGCAGTAATAAAGGTACATTTCTTCATATTTAACAAACACACAAAGCATCTCCTGTATGTGTCTGGAGTGTGCTAATCCTTGGAATGCAAAGGGGATTATGAGCCCTGATTTCAGAATGTTGTGTTATAGTAAGGAGGGCATTAAAAAAAACAACAACAATAGATAGGAAAAAATAATCATTTCAAATTGTGATGGATACAATGGAACCCAAAAATAAACTAGAAAAGATAACAGAGAAGTTAGTCAGAAAAGAACTCTGTTCTGAAAGGAAAGAATGAGTCAGCTGAGTGAGGGGTCAGGGAGGATCCAGTTGAAAGAACTTCTGGTAACAATTGTGGGAAGCAAAGGTTCTGAAACTGACAATGTGGCCAGAGAAATAGAGTGATAAAGTCTGAGCCTTAGGCTGGATCCCACAGAAGCTTCTAAGTCACACCATCAAGAGTCTGATGATCTATAAAACTCAAAAGGACAGAAAGCTGACCACATTTGAGTTTTAAGACCACCCTAGCTGTTGGAGAATGGATTCAAAGTAGGTATAAAAACTAAGGAGGTAAGTGGAGATGTTGATATCTCAGAGTAAGGTTACCACCTTACTGAAAGGAATGCAGATTAACAAATGGATTGTAGGTATATTTTGGAGCCAGGCTCAGCAGGAACTAAAGTGGGACTGAGTGTGGAGGGAAGAAAGCAGATGCAAAGACTGAGTAATCGGATGAATGTGATGAAGACCAGGGAGGGGACATGGATTCTGGGATGGAATATTCAACACAGAGCTTCACCTTGAACATGTTAAATGGGGAGCTGTTCACACAGAGACCATTAGACAGCTGGAAGATCAGCACCAATACTCTTAGAGCTGGAGAGAAATCAGGAATGACATTTAAGTCTATGGGAATATAGGTCACCACTTAGAGGTGGCACTTTCCAGTGCCTGCCCAGAGGAACCACAACATCTAAAGGCAGGCAGAAGAAGAAATAACAAAAGTTCCTGAAAAGGATTAGCCAAATGAAGAGCAAGAATGGTGCTTTAGAAGCCAAGAGAAGGATTATGTCCTAGAATGAGTGAGAATCAACTTGGTTGAGTTATTACTAAAAGATGGAGGTCTCTACTAGATGTAGCAAAACGGCTTGGCTGGTGCTATTCTCCTAACCCTTTATGAGTAGAAGCTGAGGTGGTAGGTTGAAGTGGGGAGAAAAGCAGGGATAACTCATTTGATAAATGTGTCTGTGAAAGAGAGCAGAGAAATGGGAGGAATGTGTGAAGCAGAACATGTTTGTGTTAGTGAAGACCACCATAGAAAGGGAGCCATGGGTGACACTAGAGGGAGGATAAGGGGAGCAGAGAGCTGGAGAGGCTTCGCTATTGCGTCAGTTGAGTGAGCAAGGAGAGGAGGACAGAGTGATGTGAGCTTCTCTCACCTCAGAGAGTATTCTAGAAAGAGCAGCTGGGCGTTACTGAAAGTCATTGTATGGCTTTAAAATCATGACTGTCCAGCAACTTCTAAGGAGAAGATTGCCAATCAAGATTGCCAATCAAAAAGGATGTTCCCATTTGTTCCTCTAAGTAGCCATGTTTGGAGCATATACATGTATCCAAAGCATCAGACATCACCTCTTCATTAACCTTCCTTAAACTCCTTAACATAAACTGTAATAAAAGAGGCCCTAATAGCAATAGCAGGAGCTTGGCAGATCTCAGAAGGCAGTGTTATCATGATCATGGCTCTTTATCAAGCCTTGAACTTCCAGTTCAGTTGCTCAATTTTCAGCCTCCATTGCTATCTCTAGGTAACCCAGTTAGTGTGGGTGGGATCTTTTCTTTCTGGGAACAGGTCATTCACTGATAATGGCAGGATAACATGATGGTAATAGCAGGGCAGGGCAGCACCCGCCTTCAAATCCTGTGTCTACTGACTGACCCTGTGACTTTGGGCAGGTGAGTTAAGCTCCCCTCATGGAAGTGAAACCATATGGCCACTTCAAGCACACAGCTGGCGTGACATATTCAGCCCAGTTTTCCCTGAATAGCCACAGTTTACATGCTGGAATGCTCGTATCTGAGAAACCCTGTCCAATCTGGGGACACCTGGGCAGGGATGGGGAGGCAGTCCCCTAAAGCACATTTGTGAGAAAGGCGCTAACTACCAGGAATTTGCTTCTGCCCTCAAGGAGAAGAGATGACAATTATAACAGTATGTGAGACCTTTGGGATGACAGAGAGTTTTGGTTTTGATAGTGCAGAGTTTCCAGGTGCAATTAGCTACCCAGGCAGGCTGATTCCAGTTTCTGTTCTCTTTGTTAAGGAAACAAAACTGTTTAATTTAAGGAGATACCCAAATCTATAAGGAAACACAAAGAGGAAACTCAATTCCTTCTGGGCATTTTGTCCTATCCATTTTTTCCTCAGGCCAATGCCTGGTTGGAGAGGGCCCACAAGATGGCTTGGACTGCAACAATTGTGTTGCTCTCAGACATTCAACAAACATTTCTTGCTTTGCTACCTACCCTTAATTTTAAAAATAATTAAAGTGTGATTAATGCACAATACCTGCTTACTTTAAGTGTGCTGGACTTCAAATGTACATTGAGTGTCTGAGAGCAACACAAAGTTTGCCATCTGAGCCATCTGGTGGAACCTTACCAGGCATTGGACTTTAAAAAAAGGAATTGAGTTTCCTTATAGACTTGGGCATCTCCCTAAATTAAACAGTTTTGTTTTCTTAATAAAGAGAACAGAAACTGGCACCAGCCTGCTGGATCTGAATTCCAGCTATGCCACTTGCTCATTTGGAGACCACAGAAGTGGTTTCTCACAGGGTGTCTCTCCCAGGCACCCACCTAAGAATGGCACAGTGCCTGCCTGTGACATGGGAGGCACCAAATGCAAGTCCTTGTTAAGGCTTTGGACTGTAAAGTATTTAGTCTAATTACCCTTAGGTTGAAGAGATTTTTATCTGCTATCAAAAGCTTCTTGCCTGATACACTCAGTTTTATCTAGATATGGTTCTTACATGATAGTTCCTTATCAAGAGAGAGAGAACAGCAGCCTACTTACACCCGAAAATCAAAACACCAAAAATAAGGACCAGAAGCAGCCCAGCAGAGACCCCGGCTCCGCAGATGACACCCAGCTTGGACTCAGTGGAGCTGACCTCAGTAGACAGTGAAGGACTTCCCTGTGAAAACAAAAAGAGATCTTGTAACAGGGTGGTCCCTAGGAAAAGGGGAAGTTCCAGGTTCCCTGCCCCACCCAGAAGAAGCGTGGAGCTGAGCAGAGAAAAAGGAGAGAAGAGAAGGAATCAGGAGAGAAGAAAAGAAGGAAGCAGGATGGAGAGCCAGAAGGAGACCTGAGGAAGCCACATGGAGCAGCAAGCATGTGAGCAAGAAACCGGGCTTGTTTCCTGGCCCTGGACTGGTTAAGGCAGATGTGGGTGAGATACCTGTAGGGAAGTGACTATGGCAGTGTTTATATTGATTTTGATTTTGCTCTTTTCCTCCCAGATTTGTCTGACCATTTCTGACCCTTTTCCATGGGTCCCGGCCAGAAGGTGCTTTAGACTTGTGGCAGCTTTCAGGCCTTGCTTTGGGCCAACCCCTTTTGGGTTGACTTTTGCCCACGAGGGGATGGGTCACTTCAGGTGTTTGATTTAGAAGTTATATTCTTTGTGTTCCGTATTGTATATTCACTTTATTAAAGTCCCTTTTCATTAAAGTTTTATATGTTTTGTCTTGACGTGGCAGATGGCAGAACACACTTAGGGCAGGCAGGTTTGGCGTTTCCGGGGTGCCTCTCTCTCCCCATCCTCTAACAGATTTGGTGTCCTGTAACAATCTGAGTAAAGGGCCAGAGCCACCCTGGGTCCAACCCAGCCAGACCACTGGCCTTGGGGATTGTCCTCCTTAGAGCCACAGGAAGCAGGACTTTGTAACCACTCCACCACTCCCTACTAGAAGAACCTCAAACCACCTTAAGGTGGTGTTGCACCTGCACTATGGTGTAATACCTGATGGGGTACCCAGTATTACCTAGTTAAGAAGAGATAAGTAGAGATGGAATTTTTAAAAAGAACAGGATGAGCTTAATCTCTGGAGTCAATAGGGGAGGGAAATTTGGCCTCTGTGTTAGGCCAAGAAAATGCTGCTCTTAGGTCCTGCCCAAACAAAAATGGACTTTAGCAGGGAGTCTTGTTCATTCAAGAGCCACTGGGGGTCCAGGTAGTTTCATAGGGGGTTTAATTCAGCATCTGACAGTGGAATTCTGATTTTCATAGAAAATTTCAGAGCCAGGATGCTGTAGCCTGACATTCCCATGCTCAATCCCAGCTCCATCTCCAAGAACCCATCCTCTTATAGAATTATCAGGAAAACTAAAAGACAAAAACATACAGAGTGCTTGACCAGGGGCTGGCATGTGACAACTGCTCGTGGAAGCTATGGCTGCTATGGCTCTAATTAGCAGGATTTTCTAAACACTGAGAATCACACAGAAAATCTTTCTGCTTCTATGATTTCCACCCATGTTCCCTTTTGAAAAACAATAAACACTCTGGAACCTAAGACAGAAGATAAAGAACAGCAAAGGAACAGTCAAGCCGAACCAAAACAAACCCTTAGAAGGTGATTTAGAATTGGGGCTGGGGGCAGGGGAAGGTGGGAGCAAAGCAGGGAAGGGGCTCCATGCTGGGACTGGGGAGCCTCTGGTGGTAGGTGTGGTGTGATAACATGCATCCACCCAAGGAGGGGTAGGCCTGTACCCCAAATCTTCCTTTGTTGAAAACCAATGTTAATGTCAATGAAAAAGCAGTAACAAAAGAAAAAAAATTAGAACTAAGATGTCAAGGAAATTAAACCTTCCATCCGTCATCCAGCAATTACTGCAGGTGCTTGTACACGGGTATACTACTGTGAAGCCAGCAGAGGGCATTTGCAGCTCAAAAAGGCAGAAGGTACAGGAAGAATGTGGAGACAGACAGGAGACTCAATGACTACGAATGTCCTAGAGAAGGCTGGAGGCACAGCTGTCTGCTTGCTTTCTAAGGCTCTTCTCTGCTGAGGAGGTGGACACAAACACTATGCTTAGTAGGATTATGGCTAGATATATTTACAGCTAGATATATAGATTCCTGGCTTAGGATATCATCAATGACTATCTTCATACACATCAATAAACTTAAGCAATCAAAAAGCTCTTTCTCATCAGGGTCACAATGGGAAGAAGACATATTCTGGGGAGGCGAGGGGTGCTGAAGCCTCCCCAAGGGATGAGGTGGTAAGTCTGTACTCTAAGGAGCAAGGCAAATGCTAATGGCTTCCATAGGTCTTCTGCACTGGTAATGTGCCAGGGGCTGGTACACCAGGCCCCATCCACACCACAGACAGAACAGTGGCATTGTCATTCTACGCCAAGGCATCTGAAGCTATAGGGGAGTTGGGGATGGGAGGGGAGATTCACTTTCCCCAGGGAAGAGCTGGCGAGGAGGAAGATGAAAGCCTTACTCCTCTCTGTACTGAACACAGTGTCAGGGCCCACATACTTACTGTTACTGTACGATTTTCACCCACTTTCACCTGGGTCGGGGTCTCTGCCACAAAGAGGAAAAATAGCCAACAGAATGGTCACAAATTTTCTCTTTGAGTTAATAATAAAAAAAAAAAAAAAGCAAAATTCTAAACCCAAACACTTGAAATCTGGTTGGAGAATTGAGGCTGCAGAAGTGGAAGGAGGTAGATGGGGAGCACCGAGGAGGAGACAGAGGACGGAGGTAAGAGGTTATGGGTGTCTGGTGGTGGGTGTGGTGTGACAACATGCACAGAAGTGTGAACGTGTGTCCCTAGCACACACAGTGCTGTAGAGCAATGTTAACTCATAAAAATACATTAAAAAGTATTGATTGATAGGGTTATAATAAACATTTCAATGGAATTTGGAGGACTGTGCGATTTCCTCCTGTCAGGCAGTGAAATACTAAGTTGAGATGTAACTTTAGCATGGCCATGCATTCACTTCCATACCTGAAAAGTAAAATAAGAAAGATGCCCATTAACCTTGTTGAATTAATTCTATTCTAATCTCTTCACAATCGTTAACCGGGAGACCAGCAAAATGGACCAAACAAGCCAACCTTAAAATGACCACATTTTTTCAATGAAAAATAATGAACCAAACTACTTTGGTTTTATGAAATGGAGACTTGTGCCACAATATGTGGTTTGCTGTGTCCACAGGATTTTCCAGAATTCTGACAGTGTGAGTCACCATCAGGTAGGCATTCCTTGTCATTAAGCTTGCAGAGATAACAAAAGTTTTTTGTGGAATGAGCTGAACATTTACCCTATAAGGAGAGATGCCATTTGATTGCCTGAAAGTGATAGTAACGATAGCTACAATTCACTGGGAGCAGGCACAGTGCTAACTCTTTAAGTACCTTAAGTTCACAATACAAAATAACTGTCCTAAAGGGGGGATAATGGCTAACACAGATGAAAAGGCTGAGTGTTACAAAGTGAACCCAAGCTCACAGCTCAGTGCATCATGACCTTTCAATAATGACCTATAGCTTTAAGCCACTCTTTTTTTTTTTTTTAGTTTATTTTTACATATTTTTGTGCATTTTCCCATCTCAGTTGTAATCCCTGTGGGCTTCCCATCACCAAATCACCCTGCGCCATCACCACAGTCCAGTGCATTTCCCTCCCCCCACTGTTTTTGATCCTATTCCTCACTCCACCCCCACAAAATATCTCTGGTATGTAGCTGTTCATCATTATCATTATTTTCTCTCCTGTTCCGTTACATTCCTGCTATGAGAAAAACCTTCCGGTATTTTTCCTTTTCTTTCTGGGGCTTTAAGCCACTCTTAACCAGCCGACTTCAACCAGCCTTGTCTCTGCCCAGCTGCTAGAACTTTCCTTTTCACTGGATGAACATATCTCTCCCTTTATACCAGGCAAGGGACCAAGCAGTGAGCAAGATGGACACAGGCCCCGACCTCAGGGGCTATGCATTCTAAACCTCAACAGCGTGTCAGCCTTGGGGACACTAAACGTGCCTTCTCATTTTTCTAGCTAAGTCAAAAGCTGGTGCTCATTTGTCGTCACTTTTCAGAAGTCCTAACACCTGAACCATTTTTAACAGTGGTTGAACAAACTATGATTTCAATATTACAAGAACCACCTACAATTATTTTTTTTTAAGGAAAAAAATTATCTTCCACTTTCCTTTGTTCCTTATTTTCCAAAAGGAAGTTGAAGTATATAAAAACCACATTGGTGGCCTTCCCTGGTGGCACAAGGGGTTAAAGCACAGCACTATGAAGCTATCCAAGCCACTGAGGCACGGGCTCAATTGCCAGGAAGGCAACGCACATGGGGTGACAGACCTCTCCTGACTCACCTGCTGCTCCCCTCAACAGTGTGTTTCACTAGATTCGCCTTTTCTGCTCCCCACTCTGTCTCTGGTGGATCCTCTGACCCTACCCCACCCCCCTGCACCTCTGGCCTGTAGCCCAGTTCTTGTGTGCATACATAAATAACTCTTAAACACACACACACGCACATGCATTGATGGAACTGGGGAAACATGACTCAACCACACACAAGATTTTTTAAATGTAAGTCCAGTTTCTGCTTCCAAAGAGTTATTTTTCTTGGTCTACATGGTATGGCTGATGACTTTTTTTTTTTTAAATCATTACTTTTTCTTTTTTTAAGTCATTATGCAGTGAAAACGAACAAAAGATAAAACACTACCAAGTTGCTATTTTCCAAAACAGTCATGTGTGTGAGAGAGCTGGGGTGGAAGGACAGGTGGGAAAAGTTGCAATGTTTGTATTTTTCTAGAAAACTCAGACTGGGCTGGAGGGTGGATGTGATAGTCCTAAAAGTGTAAAAATTCAGTAGTTACCACATAGTCCACATTGCGAGTCAGACATGGTTTTTAGCACTTACCATGTACAATCTCTTTTAATCTTCATTATAATCTTTAGGGAGTATTATTTTCTCACTTTTAAGGCAAATAGAGTCTCAGAGAAGTACTTTTAACCCAAGATTGCACAGCTCTTAATTTGCAAACCTGAGATTCACATCAACTCTACCTCTAAAACTGAGGACTCACAGGAGCTCAGTCCTTGAGCTTTAATTTGTTGAGACTCTAGTCTACTGTATACTAACAGATTAAATCTAACCACCTTCCATCTTAAAATACATATGCAACTACCTATGAGCTGACTTATACATAACTGATTGACATGTCAGATATTGTAGAAATACTGTAAGTATTAGTAATTTCAATCAGTCAATGTTCTATTTTAGACACTCTCTCTCCTTACTGTTTTCTCAGGCTTTTGAAAAGCTCAGATTGTAGGTTCTGTGCCTATATTCAAGGTATGGCCCCTCCTTGCCCTAGAGGAAAGGAGTTAAGAAGTGAAACAGGTGAGGAGACCCATTGGCCTGGGTAGAGACAGCTCTAAGGCAGAACCCAACCCACAAGGAAGCAAGCTCCATGCTTCCTTGGTTAAAATTGCCTCTTGAGACTGTTTTTGTTTTTGTTTTGTTTTGTTTTGTTTTTCTAAAAAGAGGGAAAATGATATTCCCAAATGATTTTAGTGAAGATTAAAAGAGATTTTACAAGGCCCTCCCTGGTGGTGCAGCGGGTTAAAAAAAACACAGGACTAAGAAGCTAAAGCCACTTCCTCATGAGTTCGATCCCCGCCTGCCCTGGAGGAGATCCACATGGCGAGGCAGATCTCTCCTGACCCGCCCACTGCTCCCCTCAGCAGTGTACTTCGTCGCTCTGCCTGTTCTGCTCCCCACTCTGTTTCTGGTGAATCCTCTCACCGCCCCTGCACCTCTGGCCTGTACCCCAGTTCTGTATGCACAAATAAATTCTTTAAAAAAAAAAAGATTTTACATGGTAAGTGTAGGCAGAGAGGTGTGTGCACAAGGGTGTCTACCCAATGGTGACATTGTTGTCAGGAGACATGGGGCACAGGACAGGCGAGTGGGACCCATGGGCATGTGGGACCCAGTCATCCTGGAGTCCCTCCTAGTCACAAGTTGTAGGATTCTCTAAGTGGAATTATGGCATCCAACAGATTTCTGGGATGATTTAATTTACCCATGATGTGGGTAGGTGATCATCTCCTCCCATTGTATTGCATTTCCTCACTAATGAGTAATAAGTTGACAACCCCATCATGCAACAATATCCAGCCAGTTCACAAACTACAATGACAACTCATACTTTAGTGCTTTCTGTGGGGCAGGTGCTGAGCTGGGCAAATTGCAAACTCTATTTCATTCTCTCTTTACCACCAGTTCATGATGTAGACTCTAGAATCACCTCATCCTGGGTAACTTTTCTAAGGTCTCAATGCCCATGTGAAATTTCCTGGAGAACCCATTCTTCCTGCCTCTGAGACTCTAAGTCACAGTCTCATACAGCCTCCAAATCTTATGATAAAATTATTGACAGTAGTGCACACTATGGCTTAGTACTATTGCCACACACTGTGTTAAAATCACATACAGTAGGAATGATAAGATTCATGAGATCAGGCTCTGGGACTCAGTTATTATTAACCTCATTTTATAGGATTAAAGATTAAGCTCTGGACAGTTTCAGAAAGGAGACCAGGACCCTGTGAGGAAATAGTTAAGGATAATCTGCTTGATCAATCTGACCCATGGTCTGCTCTTTGGACCATACCTTTTCTTCCCAAGCAGCACAGAAAAGCCCCTGCTGAGTTACCCAAAGAATCTCACTGCTTCTTCAGATGTTGGAATCTGAGAAAGCTGAGGGCATGGATTCCACTTAGAATGTGTAGGGTGAATGAAGTGATCAGGTTTTTCCACCCTTCCACCATTAGCGTCAATGACCAACACCTCTGGCCTTGCACGCGTGCCTGATGGGGCGCCTGGTAGGGTGTGCGCCTGTGTGTTTGTGTGTATGCAACTGAGCCAAGAGGCCTGCACCAGCAGCAGAGGATGCATGGGGACAGAGAACCGTGCACAGAAGCCTGCCAGCCTGCCAGTCTGCTGACTCCCAGCCCCCCGCCTACCTTGTGCCTCACTACACATGATGCAGAAAGATCATAAAAAGCCACTGAGAGCTCCAGTACTCTCCTTTACCCATCTGCCTAGATCACAGAGAACCTGCCCTGTGCCTCAGTGGCGCTACAAAGGGACTCCAGACGTTACCTACACCAACACCCAAAAGGGACCCAAAAGGGATCTTGACAGCAATATCACCAGTGTTGGAGTAAATCGGAAAATAATGATAATGGACTAAATTTTTTTAGATTAAGCCTGCTTAAATTAAAAAGCTGTCCTTTTTAAAGTTATGAAGTCAATAATAAGTAGGTGTTTTCCCTTTTGGCAAAATATGTATTTACCAAAAACCTTTTTTTTTTAGGGGAAATTTTTCTGGGCCATAAAGTCCAAAAATCTCTAAGCCCTGCACTTGGACAGAGGAAGTCAGTGGAGGGGAGATGCAGAGAAGTGAAAGGCCAGCCCCAGCCTCCGGCCAGGAGTGACTCATCCAGGGCCCGCGATGAGGAAGCCCCTTCTTCCCACTACAGGTTAGTCTTCTCTACCTCCCTCACCTCAGACACCATCTCAGGGACCCAGACAGTCATGTCTCTGCCCCAAAACTATGCCTTTCACCTTTTCCCTATGCTTGAAATGCTATGAACTCAGAAACAGGCTCCTGGTGCCCTGCCCTCCCCTACGTGTCCTTACCTGAGTCATATCCTCCGCTGGTCAGCGTCCCCAGCAAGGTTGGTGTTGGGGTGGGAGCTACCTTGGCTGAAGTCAGAAACCAATAGAGAGGATGAGTGTCTGAAGGCAGAGAGCGTGCCCACCCCACGGGCAGCAGCTAAAACACCAACTCAACACACGAGGAGAAACACTTCCTCCACTTTCAACCTGCCTAGCACCTGCAGAGAGGACACCCTTGCTGAAAATCTCTGGCAAGTGGGTCAGTGCCATCCATGTCACATGAGTTCCTATGACCAACGGCCACATGAAGGGCCACCCTCAGGGCCTCACATAGACAGCTCAGAAGATTCTTCCAGTGGCTTAGCAGTCGGTGGTATTACATTTTCTAGAAGAGGTCATCAAGTTAAATAACTTGTCCAAGGTCACCAACCAATTAGAGACAGAGGTGGATTGGAACTGAGCTCCATCAGTCACAAAGAACATACTCTATAATCTTCAAACACACAAGGACATGTGGCCCCCACTCACAAACACAAAGACACACACTCATTGTCCACTGCGCCTCCAGCCTGAACCTGCCAGCACCTATGAGAGAGTCAACTGGCGGAGACTTTTTGTCAACCCAAGGCTCAGACTCTGTCCCCAGCATCTGTAGGGGGGAAGCTCACCAGGAGAGCCTCGTGAGCACAATGCAAGGCCTTCCCGCCATCCTGTAAGTCCTATATTTGAGTTGCAAAGTAGAAGGAGGGGATTCAAATGGCCAGGCATTGCTGGAGCGGCCTGTTTTACTTTAGCTCCTGGCTCCTCCCAACCCCCAGCACTATAATTAGGGCGTTTGGAGGGGAGACAAATCAGTATATTTAATATGATTCAGGTGATTCTTACTCTGGATGAGAGCAGGTCCACTCACCTGGTTTGATGACCAAATTCAGGCTAACTTTTTTATCATTCATTAGGCCTGTGTACTGAATCCGGCAGCAGTAGGGCCCTCTGTCAGCCCAAGTCACATTCTTTATGGTCAAGGACACATTTCCAGACTGGAAATCCATTTCTAGCTGGTGTCTGCTGGATATCTGATAGGTTACTTTTGTTCCATCTGTGCTGAGCACCAGATCCTGACACTTGAGCCAGGGACAGCTTTTCCTGCCCCAGCACACAGGAACATTGGACTCCTCCTTGGGAGAGTAGAAACAGGGCAGGAAAGCATCCTTCCCCTCCTCCACGGTGATCTCCAAACTTTCCAGAGCACCTAGATGAAGAAGGAAGGAGAGCGAGGCCTGATCATGGGGGCTAACAGGGAGACTGCATCCCTGGAAATGCAAGCCAGGCCTTGAGATGGAGGAGGAGACACCTTCCTGCACTGAGGAGTGGGGGGCAAATCCTGAGGGCAATGGTTCTCAGGTGTGAGAGCTCAGGATCACAGGTAGCCTCCTGCAGCCGCAGGGGCTGGGCTCCAGGCCTGGGGTCCCTGATTCAGCAGACCTGGGATGGAGCTGGAGAATTGTTCTTGCTAACAAGTTCCCAGGACTTGTGGCTAAGCCTGGTCTTGGAACTGCACTTTGAAAGTGCGGAGAGACAGGCAGGCCCTGGCAGCCCAGGAGAGGCAGCTGATGGAGTCCACAACCAGAAAACAGGGCTCCATCCGGGTTACTCATCTGTGGGTCCACCCAGGACCGCTGCCACCTAGCACAATCTCTTTCTCTTTGAAAGCCGGAGGCACAGCTGAATAAGCAGCTGGTGTGTTGACATCACTCGCAGACTGTTTTGAGGCTTAAGATGTTTGCCTTTCAAAAGGCATTTGTGCCTGGTAGACCTCCAAGCATGTAAAAGGGAAAATGGAGGCCTCCCCCCACCCTGGCTCATTCCCATTGACCCAGGTCCCTCTTCAGGATGTCTACATCAAGGGCACTGGCACCCCAGACCCCTGCCCCCCAAATGCCCAACACACACACACAGGTGAGTGTGTGCATTATTCTTCTCCTGGACATGTCACAAGTTATTTACCCATGCCATTAGCTGGCTCGGAAACCTTTACTGTTGCATCATTGTCCTCAGTCTTTATCTCACACTCTCCACTCACAGATTCAAATTTGCACTTACTTGTTGTAAATAGTAGCAGCAACAGTAGGCCACACTCTCTGGTGAGGTGTGAGCACATGGGTCAGGCGGGAGAAGGGTCAGAAGACCGGCTGTGAGGAGGTGCCTGGTTAATCCTCCAGCTGAACAGCTACTGCCTGGGCTGGAGACTCCACTTCACAATCCCTGGAGGGGTGCCACGTGCCCCAAATGCTGGCCCAGAACCTGACCACCAGTGATGCCTCTACCCAAATTACCAGGTCGACAGTCACAGCAAGGAAAACCCAGTTCTTCGTCATGCTACACCACACACATACTGTGAGAGTTCGCTAATTTTCCCACTAGTGTAGTCAGAGGAAGCTGCACTTCAGAGGAAGAAGACGCTGCCCCGTGAGAGCAAGTAGAACCCCGTGACAGCTCTGCTGATGGGAGGAGGGCGCAGGGCTGGCCACTAACAGGTAGGAACATGTCCTCCATGCCTCCCTGCTTCCAGATCCAATACACAGGCATAATGAATGATAAAAAAGTTAGCCTGAATTTGGTCATCAAACCGGGTGAGTGGACCTGCTCTCATCCGGACTAAGAATCACCTGAATCATATTAAATATACTGATTCGTCTCCCCTCCAAATGCCCTAATTATAGTGCTGGGGGTTGGGAGGAGCCAGGAGCTAAGTAAAACAGGCCGCTCCAGCAATGCCTGGCTTTGAATCCCCTCCTTCTGCTTTGAAACTCAAATATAGGACCTATAGGTTGGGCACTGGCCCCGACCCTGGGGCTGGAGCAAAGCCCAAGGAACGGCCCACGTAGGTCCTTTCTCCAGTCCTGAGCCTAAATCTTCTCTCCCCTACAGTTGGGTCTGTGGGTCCGCTGGCTGGACCTCAGCTTCTCACACAATTTGCAGTGAGGCGACTGTGCCGGGGGTGTGAGCGCCGCTCACTGCTTCCCTCATATTCAGATTCTGACCAGAACTGTCACTGTCTGCTTGGGAAAGGCACGCTGGGAAGCTTCTCTCCCCTGAGGGGTTCCCCATGTGGATTCACATCAGTCCCAGCTGCCCCAGGGGCTTCAGACATAAATTGTGAGAAAATCTTGAGTTTGTGTCACACTTAGTCACTAACATCACACTCACAGTTCTGGGACAGTAATTTTCTCTGGAGCTCCAGAAATCTTAAAACCAAAGATTCTTACAAAAAGGAAGTGAGCTTGAGGCTGCATGGTTTCTGAAAACCCAGAGCTTCCTCCATCATTCTTTCCTAAATTTCCAACCCACAATTATGCCATTAAATGCATTTAATACAGACACCCAGCTTGTAAAGTATGCACTTCTGAGCCTCCTTTCCGGGGAAACTGAGTCCTGAGCAGATTGAAATCCCATATGCGAGTCCCTCATTGCCACTTTCCACTACAAAATGTCTCATGAATGTCATGATGTCCTTAAAGTAGCAGCCACATAGCTAACAGCCAGTAAGTAGCCATAGTCAAGTGTGAGGACCAGGGGATGGAACCTGGGGTCCAAGTTCATATTTACTAACAGCAGGTTGCCTGAAAAGCTCTTAAAAGTTTCGTATTTGGTACTTCGGGCTCTTTCTTTCTGTTTTCATTTTTTTGTTATTACTCCGTGTTCCACCCTCCTCTGGAATTGTTACTGGGACCCTCAGTGACAGACACATAATTCATTCATTCATTGAAACTCGTGTGTGCTTTCAGGGGCCTGACAATCTTTTCTAGTCTCTTTCTTTACTGTTGTGTGCAGGGGGCGGCGCTCTCTGAATTTTTCTTCCTTATTCCACTTTTATATTTATTTTAAAAAAACAGAGAAATGTTTTCAGGTGGCTGAAATTTAAAGTGTTACAAACAGTTAATGTTAACTGTTTGATTAATATTAATATAACTTATAATGTAAACTGTATACTAATGTAAGCTATATGATATTAAAATAGCTGTATATAACACTACCCTACAGTTTCTTTTTGTAAGTCTTTAATGTATACAACCAAGGCAAAATAACATAAAAACATTTTATACCTTAAATTTCTCCCCCACCCCCCAGTGTGGCTCAGGGCAGTTGCTGTTTCTTCCTATTATATTACTATTTTACATAAAATGTTTCCGATATAGGACCCTCCCTGGTGATTCCAGGGAGCAGCACTAAGAAACTATCCTCAGCCCTTGCCGTCCAGCCAGGGAGTGACCCACATGGCGCAGCAGACCTCTCCTGGCTCACCTGCTGTTCCCCTCAGCAGTGTATTTCAGTCAATCTGCCTGATCTGCTCCTCACTCTGTCTCTGGTGA